CTGCCTGCCCTGCAACTGGCTGGTGCCGATGAGGTAGGGGCGCCATGGAAGCGGCTCAGCGCGAGCTGCCTCGGCCACGTCAGCATGCAGTCCGGCCCGTCGAAGCACCAGCCGTGCACCTCAGCGAGGATCTCGTCCATGACCTCGAGCATCAGGAACAGCTCGGGCTCTCCCTCATCTGCGCTCTTCGGCAGCGCAAAGGAGGCGTGCATCTCGTCCTTCTCTAGGCCCCGCACGTGGTTCTCGATGCCAGTCCGCCTCAGCCACGGGACCGCAGCCGAGGGGTGGCTGTCGAAGCCGTGCACCTTGTTGCCCTCCGTCTTGATGTCGTCCGCTACCATGGTCGCGTCCGCGTCGGCCAGGTCGAAGAAGGCCTGCTCCTGCGGCTCGAGGGCGATGGCGGCAGTAGCTGCGTCCCCTTCCGCCCTGTCGTCGTCTGTAACCACAAAGTACCGGACATGCTCGGTCTTTGCGAAGAAGGTCTGCACCGTGCATCTCTGCCACGCGCCACCCTCACTCTGCTGCGACGGCTTCTGCCCGTGCTCCCGGGACACGTGCGCCCTGATGGCCGGCCCGGACCGGGTCAGGGCGGCCGGCCGTCGTCGCAGAGGATGCAGGAGAATGCCGGATGGCGGCGCAGTCCCTCGATGGCGATGCAGGGCTGGTCTGGCAGGGCGACCTGTCCCGGGGGCCGCAGCTCATGCGTCGCGAAGAGGTCGAGCAGGGTGCGCAGCTCCGGCCCCTTGAGGTCGTGGGGTGGGTGCCTCAGGTGCCACTCCTGGCTGGCGCGCGCGGGCATGAGGCAGGTCCCGCAGTCGCGGCAGAGCAGCACCCCGTGAGTTGCGAGGTAGGAGAAGCTGGCCGCCATCCTTCCCTTGCGCGAGCGGTGTGTGTGCGCTATTCGCCCTTCGTTGCATGCTCTGTATGCGTGCTTGATGCGCCTGCGCCGTCCCGGGGGTCTCCCAATTTGCTGCACAATAATCGCTCCACAATGGCCCGTGCGCGCGCGAGCGACAGGGGTCGCTCGCGTGGGGATTCCCAATTTGCACTACAGATACGGCCGCTTCTAGGGGTAGAAGCCATTCTTTTCCTCTCCAATAATTACCCCTATAACGACACTCTACAACATCCCTTCACCTCCCGTCACCCCAACTCAAACCACTACCCCCCCCCCTAACCAGTGTATTAGATAGTATTATACGGCCCGTATACGGGTTCATTTTTGTAACCAGTGCGTATACGATACGGGTTCAACTCAATACGCACTGGCACTGGTTAATACGATACGGAGCCCGTATACTGGCCGTATACGGGCCGTATTAACCACGTGACACAATGAAAAATGATCTGAAGTATATAACTTACTTCAATGAGGGCTTGTAGTATAGAAAGTAGTGCATTGGGCTATCTAGTATATTCTAAAAGCAGCACTTGATCTACATATTGTAGAACTGGGAGAGAAGCTCCTCGGATTCCTTGGTTGGGGACAACAGCAACAATCTGTCGTCAGATGGGAGGATCCACTTGTACTCAGCTGCTCAGTCTCTTCTCTCAACACCTCCCAGGCCCGAAAGGCGCCAAGTGCATCAGAATCCAACTGAAAGCCATAGAACTCAGTATCATAGCCATCAGGGTACCAGTCAGCAGGGCCAGGAAGGTAGACTTGTTCGCCATCGAAGCTCCATGATGCAAAGTTCCGCCAAACTGCCATCTGTGTCTTGGTGAAGTAGAGGTGCGGGGGGGTCTTCTCATAATAAGTCCTGTAGATGTTAGCTGATTACTATAAATATTACTATAAAGTTATTAACCTGTATGCTCGCCATCTAGTTCTTGTAATGCAAGAACAGAGTGTTCTAATTGGCCAGTTTCGGATATATAGTGTGCGATTATACCAAGAATTGCAAGAGAGTTGGGAGAAGTCCAGAGGTCAACTGTAAAGTGGGCTTTTGACAGAGCTGATTGTACATCGCGTTTGATCTGTTGCTTTTGAGCCTTGTATGTATGCAACGTCCAGGTCTGTATTGTTGAAATAGAGTTAGGTAGCCAGTTATCGATCTCTGGATTAAGGTAATGGAGTAATGCCCTAAATTCCAATATTGTTGCCATACGGAAAGGGACTCCACAAGTTGTAATCCATCGTACATATAGCTGCTCAACAACAGCAGGGTCTAAGGCTTCAGTTGCAACAGTAGAAAGGCAGCGGCGTTTATGATTTATCTCTTTAGCGTTTGTCGAAAGCTTCAGCGATATTGCTTTGAATTGAAGTAGTTCGAGATTCCTGAGTAGAGGATATATCTATGTCGTGTTCTTTTAAGTGCCTTGTAATAATCTTTGTTCCGCCAGACTCAAGATACTCTTTTAGACAGTATCTACAACGCCATATTAACCTGCCCTGGTAGTTCCGAATGATATCGCAGCGGCTAACAGGTGTATGGTCCCAGACTTTTGAAAATCGTCTGCTTGCAGTTGTTGTTACAGAAACAGAGGGAGAGGATAGCGTACGTTTAAGTATAGGCGAAGTCGGGGTTTCGAATCGTTCACTGACAAATAGCTCACTGTCGAGCTGTGACAGTATATCCGAAGGTTGTGAAGTCATTGTAGTAATATATAGTATATAACGATCTATCAATTGAAGTTATTCGAACCCCTTGTTTCGAATTTTAAGCCTCAATACTAGCTGTATACGGCTAGTAATACGGCCCGTATACGGCCAGTATTGAGAACTGAATACGCACTAGACCCGTATTGGGATTTTGGAATACGCACTGACTCAGTATTGCCGTATACGATACGGACCCGTATACGGGTCGTATACGACCCGTATCGCCAATACTATCTAATACACTGCCCCTAACTCGACCGGAATCGAGTTATCTCCCTTATTTAAAACCCTATCAAAATTCTGAATATGCCATTCTGTTCGTCTCGTAAAACTACTCTGTTAACGATATCAAACCTTTTATTTCCCTACCTTATTCCCAAAAATAAATTCTCAGTTATTATAATTATTCCCTTACATATTCTATCCCCCTACTCACACCAACTCGAAATTCGCCTCCCATCCTAATCCGTATCAAAATTCCGAAGAAGCCATTCTCTTCCGCTCGCAAAACTACCCTATTGACGATATCAAACTATTCCTGTACAACGTCCCCTCACTTCCCATCATTCCTATCAAAATAACTCCCCCCCCCCCCTTACTCACCTGAATTCGAAATTCGCCTCCCATTTCAACTCGTATCAAAATTCCGAAGAACCCATTCTCTTACCCTTCAAAAACTACCCTATTAACGATATCGAACGCTCCTTATACGTCATCTCTATCATAACTTATACCCCACTCAATATATTCGCTGCCTTACCTTTGCCACCCGACGGAAATCAAAATAACTCACTCATTTCAACTTGTACAAATAATCGGAAGACGCCATTCTTTTCTCCTTATATTTCTCGTCATTTCCTGCTGTCGAACGATAAGTTCTGTCCGTTGTTGCACAAGTTATACTTGGGGTAAAAAACCGGGTCTCCCTGTAACCCCCCCCACCACCACCCGTCTAAATCCGGAATATCTCTTTCCTTTTAATTCGTATCAAAAATATGAAGACGCCATTCTCTTCCCCTTGCAAGCCTCCCCTAATATCACCCTCGAACGATAAATGCTGTCGCCTACTGCAAAACTTATGGCTCTTATCATACCTGCCCCCCCACCCATTACCAGTCGTCTAAATCCGAAATAACTTGTTCGTTTGAACTCGTATCAAAATTATGAAGACGCCATTTTGTTTCTCTTCCAATCCTCTTTCAAATGTGATGCCGAATGATAAATTCGGCTGCCCATTGCAATACTTATTGCCCCTCATCTGACATACCCTCCTCCCCCCTTCCACCCGACCATATCCGGAATATCTTCACCACTTTAACTCGTATCAAAAATCGAAAAACGCCATTTGATTCCCCTTGTAATTCTCTATTATTGACGATACCGAACGTTAAGATCTGGTTGTCGCTTCAAACGTTATCACCCCTCAAAAACTATGCCTCCCTTTCACCCCCTGTCACCTACCACCCACCAAAATCCGAAATAACCAACTCGTTTTGAATCGTACCGAAACGCGGGGTACGCCGTTTTATTCATCTTGGAAACCTCTTCATTTCGCCATATCGAACGATAAATTCCGTCTGTCGGTTGAGAAGTTATTGGCTGTCAAAAATTATGCTCCACTGGCCCCCTTGCCACCAACCATCCGTCTAAATCCGCAATAACCAACTCATTTCTACTTGTATGGAAAATCGGAAGACGCCATTTTCTTCCCCTTGCAAATATCTTCTATTGACGATACCGAACCTCAAGTTTCGCTGGTCGCTGCAAAAGTTATTGTCCTCCAAAACATATCCTCCACCCGCCCCCCTGACACCTACCGAAATCCGCAATAACTTGCTCGTTTCAACTCGTATCGAAAATCGGAAGACGCCATTCTGCTCCCCTTGCAATTCTCTTTCGATGACGCTATCGGACGATAAGTTCTCCGTGTCCTTGCAAAACTTATGCCACTTCCCATACCATGTCTCCCTGCCCACAAAATCCGGAACCTCTCTCTCATTCTAACTCGTATCGGAATTCCGAAGAAGCCGTTTTCTTCCCCTTGTGAAACTACCCTGTTGCTAATGTCCAACAACCCCTAACCCTTCTGGCCCCAAATCCTATTACCCTTCAAATACCATGCCCACCTCGCCTTCCTCCCTCCGGGGGTGGCCGTCGGCGGGCTTCGCCTGGATGGGTTCGACTTCTAAACCCACCTCCCCCCTCGTCATTATACCATATATCCGGCATGCCATCCGCCACGTCAACATCCAATTCCCCTCCCACACCCCTCCAAACCCTTCCCCAACCTCACGCATCCACTCCCAAACATCACACTCAAAATCCCCTCGGAACCCAACCGCCTCCACTATCCCTCGCAAATGCCCACCTTCCAATAATACATATAATCCTGGCAACATCACCTCGGGATATTCACACCACCCGTCATCCTCCATCCGTCGGCATATCTTCTGCGACAACCGCACTTCCAACAATGCTGATACCTCCCCAAATCAATCATCTTCCGCCACTCCCAGTACCTGACATATCCACTCCCTGACGCCTCTGCCAAAACACAATCCTCATACGCATGCGCCCCTTCCTCTTCAACATCCCCTCCACGGATGAATCGGCAGTATATGCAATGTCCTCGCACCTCATCCATCACTTCCATCATCTGCTCATCCCATTCTTCTACGGCCTGCAACCGCCTCTGGATCATCTGCGACCCATTCGGCACCTCTTCCGTGGCCTCCACCTCTTCCGTGGCCTCCACCCCTCCCCTCACCTCCGCCCCCACTCCTCTGCCACTCTTCATCTTGCACCGGTCGCAAAACACGCTGTCCGTCTGCCCGCAACTGCCCTCCTCCGCTCCATCCATGTGTCGACTTAACACAACCCGCCGACATCCCTGGCTCTCAATGAATTCCGTCATCGCATCTTCGTCAACCTGCTCCACTGAATACTCACTCATAATCTCCCTCCGCTTCCAACCCCGGCTGCTCTCCACCCGCGTGATGATCACCGACTCACTCACCTCCCCACCTCGCCCTCCACACCCAGACTGCTGCACGAAGCTCGTCAACCCATACGGCCGACCCACGTGAACAATCATCATGATCCCCTCAATGTTGATTCCCGTCCCCAATGCCCCCGTCGCAACAATCCATCCACCCTCCCCGCTCGCCCATCGCCGTAAAACCTCCCCCTTATCGTCTGCTCTCGCTCGATAAAATGCGCACTCCAATAACTCGCTGATCAACCTACCCGTGTCATAACTCCGCACGTATATGACCCCTCGCTTCCCATGGCCCAGCGTCACCTGCTGCACATGCTTTACGGCAATGTCGGATGGTGCCTCATCCTTGCTGTCCCTAACCTCGTATCGGATTGTCCTTCATCCCGTGCTTCGCCGAAATATCTGCGCATTGTCAGCGCACAACCGCTCCTTCAACACGTCCTCCAACTGAACCATCAATGTCGCCGTCAACCACATATATGATCCCTGGAATATTAATTCCTGTCCCTAATGCTCCTGTCGCCACAATCCATCCTCCACTTCCTTGAGCCCACTTCTGTAGTGTTTCGCCCTTATCATCTGCGCGTGCCTTGTAAAATGAGCACTCTAAAGCACTGCTGATTAAGTCGCCAGTTGCATAGCTCCGTACATAAACCACTCCACGTTTCCCATCTGGCAAGTATAGTAGTCTTTCTAGTAATCGAATTCCGACCGCAGATGCTGCTTCTTCCTTACTATCCTGCACCTGATATCGAATGGTCGGCCGTGCAGTGCTCCGTCGTAGTAGTACTGCATCCTCAATTAATAGCCTGTCTCGTAATACATCTTCTAGCTCAACCATCAATGTGGCTGTTAATGCTGTAAATGGACACTTTAAGTACCGTAGTTTCCACAGCTCTCGAAGCCGCTCTCGATATGATGTATCTGTAAATGCAACATGGCATTCATCAAAGAACATGTGAGCTAGCTGCCCATTCAACTCGTACCCCTTAGCCTCGTGGAGAAACTGCCCACTGACGGCCTGGTCAGCACTGACAACCAGCAGCTGCACCAACTCTTGACTACTATAATGATTACTATAGCTCCACTCTTTACAGTGCAGCCCAGCAGCCTGTCCTCGAGCCACGATATCTTCAACTAGTGCTGTGAATGGAACGACCACAATCACTGTCTGGTCAACAGCCATGGCAGCCACTGAAAAGAACAGCACTGACTTGCCACTGCTTGTGGGCAACACGATAATCGATGTGACTGGGGGCTGGTGAACAAGTTGTAGTGCTGCAGCTTGTCCTTCAGATCGTGGCTGCGCTTGTGGGCCATAGATCCGTCGCAACCCATCTAATGCCTTTGCCTTCACCCCATGCTTGCTCTCTCTCCTCTCTCGTTTGATGCCAACTGGTGTTAATTGCTGGCTGGCTTGTCGCCCATGCTTTCCTTTCCCCTCAGCCTGTGCCAACCCTAACAACTCGTGCCATGCTACTGAAGCTTGCTCATATGCTGTGATTAACTCTGGGCCTAGTCGATGCAAGAATGCTCCGTCAACTGCATAATGAGCTTGGGCTACTCTCTGCCCATGCCCTGATTGTCTGTTTAATGTTAGTACTAATTACCATAATGATTACTATAATAATTACTATAAACAATAGTACCATACTATGGTACTACCATAAATAGCGCTTACTATAATCATTACTATAAACTCACCTAACCATGATATGTCGGAATGTGTTCTGCTCCAACTCTTCTTCATCATCACCCTCTGCAAACTCTCCTTCATCCTCTTCATCGTCCTTCTCCCACGTCTTGCTTGCTCGTAGTAAATGCCGTACAGCAATTCCAATGGCTACGTGTCGCCAGCTCTGCACTGTCAACCGTACACCTAGCCCCTTACTTGTTGCCTTGCTTAAAGCTTGCGTGAGCTCCTGCCCATGGCCCTCGATTATCACCAAACAAGTACTCTGACTCTCGTTGGTCTAATGCCCTGCCAAATGGTCGGATATATATCAAGTACTGTGCTAACACTTGACTGACCTCATTGGGCAAGAACCGAACAATGTAATCTGTGTTTCCCCTCCTCTTTCTTGCCTTATCGTACATGGTTAAGAAGCACATCTGCCCATTAATGACGTATATGTTCCGCGCTGAATACACACTGTTACTAACCTTGATCGATCCAATCTCTGGTCCTCGAGCTGGCTGGCCACCTGTGACATGCAAAGTAACCATCAACTTTCGTAAGAACTGACGCTCTTGATTCAAGTACGCCTGCTTCTGTGAGTCGTTCCATTTGTATGATCCATCGCCTGCTCTTTGAAGCAACTGCCACTCCTTGCTTCCCTTCCTTGCACGTTTAAGCAGATACTGATAACCTACATCCGTACGCTCTCGATTCTTAACATGGTTGATGAAGCTGTACTCAGACTGTCGAAATTTCGTGTTCCAAGCCATGCTGTCAACAATCTGGCTCAAATCTACCATGGGCAGCTCTGAATCAAACGGCAGATTGTATAGTAATCTTTGTAGTAATCCTATCAAGTCATGGCACATTTCCCTAACCTTTTCAAGCTCAACTCCCATTCCAAGATAATAAATCGTCTGTTCATCGCGTGACCAGTGGATGTTCGCTGGCGACTCATGCAGCTGGTTATACTTCTTCCCCATAGCTAATTGACTCAAGATGCTTGACGTTGGTGAGAATGAGCCTTCACAGAGATGGGTCCTCCGTAGCTTGTGGATTCGCTCGGGAATTGATTCAATATCCTCTTTGCTCTGGAGTCTTAATTCTGGCCATGGCTCTAATGGTACTGCGATCTCAAGCATAAGCAGCCGTGTGATCCATAACACACGTCCAAGTATTGGTGTGTATGCAAGTGGTGGATATAGCGATTTGGTAAGTGGATCGATCCCACGAACAGCTAAGTAATGCATCAATGGTGACTCGTACAGCCCAATCTTGCTAGTGTCCTGCATCACGACTAGCATGCACAGTCGCATCAATTCGGCTGTGAGTAATGGATCCTGATCGTCTTCATTATTGGGTTCAGTTTGCAAGTGCGTATGGATCTGTTGGATTGACTGCCACTGAGCATGGGTGAATTCCACGCCAGTTTCTAATGAAGTCAGTATAGTAAATATTATAGCAATCATTATAGTAACCCTTCACACACGTTGCCAATGTGCACTTCGCGCAGATGGTTTTGGGTTATATACTATAGTAACTACTATAGTAACCATCTACTCACTGTGTAAAGCTGTGCGCTTCACGCAGATGGGTCTGGGTTTGATTTATCCTACCACACAACCCTCCACACACGTTGTGTGACGCCGTGCGCTTCGCGCAGATGGGTTTGGGTTTGATATATCCCACCCCCTCCACACACGTTTCGTGATGCTGTGCGCTTCGCGCACATGGGTCTGGGTTTGATATATCCTACCACCCAACCCTCCACACACGTTGCAAGACGCTGGTGCGCTTCGCGTGGACGGGTTTGGGTCTTCTATAGTAACTACTATAGTAAACACCCACACGGGTCTGGGTTTGGTATATCCTACCACCCAACCCTCCACACACGTTGCGGGACGCTGGTGCGCTTCGCGCGGACGGGTTTGGGTCATATACTATAGTAACTACTATAGTAAACACCCACACGGGTCTGGGTTTGATATATCCTACCACCCAACCCTCCACACACGTTGCGGGACGCTGGTGCGCTTCGCGCGGATGGGTTGGGGTCTTCTATAGTAACTACTATAGTAAACACCCACACGAGTCTGGGTTTGATATATCCTATCACCCAACCCTCCACACTCGTTGACGCCGTGCGCTTTGCGCAGATGGGTTTGCCTCTTCCATAGTAACCACCATAGTAACCATCCACATACCTGTATCATCCTCCCAGTCAACTGTCGCCGTCCTCATCATGTAACAGATGAACCTCTGCCATACTGCACTACACTTATGAACCGACTGAACGCTCTGGTGAAGCTCGAATGGATGCTGGCTCGCAACCTCATTCTTTGGTGATGCCCACCACTTTAGTACATCCTTGTGGTCCATATTTGCTAGCGTATCAAGACAGCGTTCAAGAATCCGATCCCATGCACGTAACAGTCGTTGTAATTTGGTCTCCTTCTCCTCTGGCTCACGCGCGTATTTGTACGTCTGGATAATATCAACCTGTGACTCCTGAAGAACCTCGTTCCACCCAGTGTATCGTAGCCATGGGTCTAGCTCATCAGCCGCGGGCTTGGCTAGCAGTGTCAACCTGCGCTCCTGTGCTGCCTCCTTCCACTGCTCGATGTCGCGTATGATCTGGTCCTCAGCATCGCCTTCCTGGTTGCTGGCTTGCTCTTCCTCACTAACATCATCGCTAGACTGCTCTCCAACGTCGCGTACTAATATCATCAGCTGGTTACTATAATGATTACTATAAAGATTGCCAGAATCCAACTTACTCAATTGATGCGTCGCTTGCATTCCTTCAGCCTGTCTACTCTCATCCACAACCCAATATCGCTCCTTTCCATCTCGAAACCATGTCTGCAGCCGTACAGCCTGGAATAACTGGTTGTCATCCACCCGTTTCATTGAATGCTTATTTCGGCCATGATCCTTCATTACTCTTCGACTGATTGTATAATACCTACAATGCTGACATTGGAATCCATCAACTATTGGAATAACTGGCTGTGGTGGTAGTCCATCAACTGGTAATTGGATAGTTGAATAATTATAATCAAATGGAACCCTCTGAATATAGTGCTGTATCTGCTTTCGAACTTCCAGTTTCTCCTTATGGATTTTGCGGAAGTGCTCAGTTAGTCCTACACCGCTAACTGCTTTGCAGCAATGTGCACTCAAACAAACAAACACCTTATACTCAACGTTTAGTTGGATCAGATGGCTCAAAGTCACTGGAACTTGAATGGAATTGATGCTCTGACGTTCTGCCATGATGGAATTGATGGTAATAGCTATAGTAATCCATATAAAACGTAACCCTAGAGAATGCCGTTGTGCGCCCATCGGCAACTAGTGCCAAGACAAGTGCACGGGCCACATCTAACCTAAAATGGATGCCTTTGGGCGTCCAACGGCAGAGACATAAGGTTAGGCTATACTTAGAGGACTCGCTCCAGAAGGGTTGGATTCGTCACTCGACGAGCCCCGCTGGAGCGCCAATTCTTTTTGTCCCAAAGCCAGATGGATCCAAGCGATTGTGTGTGGATTACCGAGGCCTCAATGCAATAACGGTGAGGAATCGGCACCCTATTCCCTTAATATCAGAGATCCTTGATCGATTGAGTGGCGCAGTGATGTTCACTAAGCTCGACGCAAAGGATGCATATCAGCGTATGAGAATACGGAAGGGGGACGAGTGGAAGACAGCGTTTCGGACGAGGTATGGCCTCTTCGAATACCTAGTGATGCCATTTGGGCTCTGTAATGCCCCTGCCTCCTTCCAAGCGTACATCAACGAAGCCCTCGCAGGTCTTGTGGATGTATTGTGTATTGTGTACCTTGACGATGTTTTGATCTATTCAAAGCATAGTGAGGACCACCCGCAACACGTCCACACAGTCCTTGAGAGGCTTCGGAAGTTCAAGATATACTGTAACCTAAAGAAGTGCAAATTCTCTACAACAGAGGTAGAGTTTCTTGGGTTTACCGTCTCGACAAAGGGGGTCTCAATGGATACCTCTCGGGTTGAGACAATCATGGAGTGGCCGGAACCTACAAGTTTTAAGGATCTACAGGTCTTCCTTGGGTTTGCGAACTTCTATCGGAGGTTCATCGAGGGGTATTCGCATATAGCGCAGCCCCTTACAGGAATGTTGAAGGGAAGTGATAAGGGGAAAAAGGCTGGCCCATTCCATTGGAATAAGGAGGAGGCAGAGGCTTTTCGGACGTTGAAAACAGCGTTTACGTCCGCTCCGCTCCTCTGCCACTTTGACCCGAATCAACCCATTCGTCTTGAGACGGACGGTTCAGGAATGGCGATTGCTGCCATCCTAACCCAGCCGTACACTGACAAAGTGGGGGTCACGCAGTGGCACCCCATAGCCTTCTACTCCCGGAAGCTGAAGGATGCAGAGATCAGGTACGACGTCCACGACATTGAGCTTCTCGCTATCGTCGCAGCGTTTAAGCACTGGCATCACTATCTACAGAATAGTAACTTTCCGGTGACAGTAAGGACCGATCACAACAATTTGGTCTACTTCATGAAGAAGGCAGCCATTAATAATAGGCAGGCCCATTGGATCAAGTTCCTAGCAGGCTTCGACTTTGAAATCGAACATCGACCTGGCCGTACAAACCCCGCAGACGGTCCAAGTCGTAGACCGGACTACGTCGACCGCCAACATAAGGCATATGATGGGTTGCTCCCTACGCTTCAGCAGAAGCTGGCGCCTGGGTGGAGCGAGGTTGCTATAAGCAGCGAGCGTGAGGTGTCACAGCAGAGTACTCGAATCCGTGCTGTATTTGCAAAGGCAAACAGTCGAACGGAAACTAAAGATATCCTCCACGAAGTGGAACAGCTCTCGCGACCCCTCTGCAGAGAGGGCGCAGAGCAGACGCCAGCTGTGATTGCACGGTGCCGAGCGGTATGTAGACCTTCAGAAGCTCATCGCTCAAGCCCAAAACAGTGATCTGTTTTTGAGCGGGAGAATTCAAAGGATGACGAAGGGGTTGCCCCATACGGATGGAGTAGAGCGCAAGTGGGCGATACACCCGGTAAGTGGAGTGTTATACAAGCACGGGAAGATGCCATTCCCGAGAGTCCCAACTCTTATTGAAGAACTCCTACGTATACACCACGATGACCCGCTTGGAGGGCATTTTGGGGTGGCAAAGACCACCGAGCTCCTACAGAGGAAGTACGAATGGCTGGGTCTGCGGAAAGACGTAAAAGAATACGTTAAGACGTGCCAGGTTTGTCAGAAAATGGTAACGAAGTGGCACCGCCCATATGGCGAGTTGCAGCCGCTCCCACAGCCAAATGGTCCAGGTGAAGAAATCACAATGGATTTCATTACGGGGTTACCCCCAAGCCTACACCCATTAACAAAGAAAGCGTACAACTCTATACTTGTAGTGGTTGACCGTTACACTAAATACGCCCTGTATATTGCCGCAAATAAGACAATCACAGCGTCCGATTTGGCTATTCTTATCCTGCGCTACGTCATCACAGAGTTCAGTATTCCGAAGGGAATTGTATCCGATAGGGGATCAGTGTTCACAAGCAATTACTGGTCCTGTCTCTGTTTCTACCTTAAGATTCGACAGCGATTGAGCACCGCTTTCTATCCGCAGACAGACGGACAGACTGAGCGGCAGAATCAAACGATTGAGCAATACCTACGCTTCTTCGTTACAAGCCTACAGGATGAGTGGGTAGGGCTATTACCTCTAGCCCAGTTTACGTACAACAATTCCTACCACTCTACAATAAGGATGTCGCTGTTCCGGGCGTTGAAGGGGTTTGACCCGCAGATGCCAGACATAAGTGTCGCGGACGCCCCTCGAAAGGGAGACGCGCCTGAAGTAATTGAGAGGGTGGCTCAACTTCAGGAAGAAAGGGAAGCGATGGCGCGGCATTGGGTGAAAGCCACCCAGGCGCAGTCGAAGCACTACAATGCAAAAAGGAAGCCTA